TGACTTAGTCTTGTGGTCCATCGTATGAGCCTAACTTAGTCTCGTGGCCCACCACGAGTTTAGCCCTAAGTGGTTGAACTTTCCTTTGTATAAATTAGCCTAGTACAATTATTACAATATCATGTCTTATTCCCTTACAAGACAGGTTTTGTCTGTTTGTCCTAAACTACCTCTGTAATAGCATTACATACTCTTTGTAATAGCTCTACAATTATTATTTAATATTTAATACAATATTCAGTCTCCGCGACCCTATAATACTCGTTCTTGCCTACGTTACCTATCTATTTATCATTTCTTAATATTATCGGGTTTAGTAATTTGGGCTACTCCGGGTTAATTAAATCCATCACTAAGTTTATTAATTGATGGAAATTTTATAGAGTTGATGGTGAAATTGATTCATAAGAAATTTTATAGAATACGAAATTGATCGAATTGATTCAGTAAATCATAGGGTCTAGTTTGTAGTTACGGAAAAATTAATTAAGAAGATCAAAATATGATGTTTTCCTTTGTCCTTGTGTTGCAACTTAGAAAATTGAATTGTGATAGTTGCATTCGATGATGAGGCATGATTACAATAAGCATTTTCAAAGAATTTTCAGTTAGAAGTGGTTTTTGATGATTTCAGGAAAAAAAAAAAAAAAAAAAAAAAAAACTAAGTAGTAAAGGTTGATATTAAGTAGTAAAGTTGTGATGTCGTATGTGATTTCTGCACTGCCAATTCAAAATTTAAAATGAGTTGTGCCTACTTCTATGTAGTTCTTGGCTTCTTGCCATAGAAGAGTTCATTAGAGTTGAACAAGAGACATCATAGGTGTAACAATTTATGCATAATGTATCTGAGCCACTTTTCTATGCATCTTCGAGGTTAATTATATCGTTCTAAGAATTTCGTACACTAGTAGTTTAGTACATAGTTTCCCAAAATTTGTAGAATTTTTCAAAACCTTGTACATAACACTAGTGAGGTAGAGAATCATAGAATCTTCAACAACATTTTTGAGCCCATAAGATTGTATAGAATTTTAGGAAGGGTTCTAAATATAGAATTATAGCCATAGAATCAAAGTAGATCTTTACCGTCTATTCAGGGCCCGTGCAATTTATATCGTGCACCAGGGCACGCATTGCATTGTGCGCCCTAACGCAAAACGACGTCGTTTCACATAATTGTATAAAAAAATACACATAATCGTATAAACAAATACACATAATTGTATAAACAACCACACATAGCTGTATAAAAAAATACACATAATTGTATTAACAAATACACATAATTGTATAAATAAATACACATAATCATGTCAACTCTCTATCGCGCCTCTCAAAACGACGTCGTTTTGGGAGGCGCGAGGCGCACAATGCTATGTGCGCCGTGGTGCAGGGTATAACGATTGAGGGGTAGAATGGTTTAAATACACATCAAGGGCTCATTTTATAACAACCCCAACAATAACAGTCTAAGAATCCAAGTTCTGAATAATGCTTACGAGTCACGAGACGTTGTTAGTACTCTACTCAGTTTTTACTTACAAACTTATAATGTATTCAACCTATTTAGTCTAACAATGTATGCCTTTCTTACTTACAAAGCTATTTGGTTTGATAATATATCCATCACACTTATACATATATTTGATCTTATTATTAAGAGGAGAAGGGTTGGAGACACGGAGGAGAGAATGAGAAAGACAGTGGTCTGATTGAAATCCCGGACGATAAGCTGAAAATTATAGAGAAACTGTGTATACTAGATATTGTAGGAGTATGCAGCGTGTGCTACAGAATCGTTGTGAGAACGCCAGTTGTTGGACTATTTCCATGAGGAAGCCACCGGGACTGGGAAATCCAAGTTTGTGGCCCATTGGAAGATGCTAGAGACGAGGTTTTGGAGGCAATTTAGGGATAAGATAGTGATGGGATTTTAGAAGGATTAAATTTGAAAACCGTATGTTGTACTAGTCTAATTGGATGGAGTTGTTGAAGTCTTTGGTTGTCTACTTTCAAACTACACTTCAATATAATGCTAGCTGGTGCTTCAATATGATCAATGCATTTCGTATTTTTCTTCCAATTAAATTAAGGGACCTCTTGCCAAGTTCGTATGTCGGTATTCCATATGAAAATGCCTTCTAAATCAAAATGGTTATATCTTTGGGACAAATTAAAGTGGTAAGATAAGAACGTGCAGTATATAATCATGTCAGGCATGTACTCCTGTATTTCAATTCTTGTCAATACACAATTATTAACAATCATTTTTTACTAAGGTTGTCTTGGTAAAATTGTTGGCATGGGTGCTTATTCTTTTCACGTATTAGCAAAAATTTTCTTATAACGCCACCACATATTTACGATTCCTAATACTTCCAAATAAAAAGAAAGTGCTAGAAAAGAATGCACGAAAATTTAAAGAAACATCATATTGCATGCCCCATCATCTCAAGGGCCAATGGCAAAACCACAATGGAGACAGTGAGGTTGCTGGCCCCACTCACCCACCCCATACTCCCATAGATATAGTAGTATATATATTAAATATATCAAAATGTAATAATATGTACTACATGTTTGTGGTTTGTACTCTAAAACATTTAGTTTGGTTTTTGAATTTTTAAATACCAATAATGAGAATTCTAATTTGATTTTTATTTGAAAAATTGTGTTTTTTTCTTCATTTTTTAATATTAATAGGGAGATGAGTTAACTTTTGTTTTTGACATTTATTACTATTAATAGTGAGAATTCTAATTGAATTTTTTATGTGTGACTTCTTATCTTTGTATTATTATTTTTAAAATATTAATAGTGAGATAAGTGATTTATAATGTGTTTTCCATTAAAACTATTCCATCTAATTAATTATGTTTTATATTTTGTTTTAAATATATTTTATCTTGATGTATTTTGATTTTTCATATCTAGTCAACAATATTTATGACTCGGTCTCTAAGTGTTTTATTTTTTAAAAAATATCTCGTTAATTTTAATTTATCGCCCCCACTAGAAAATATTTATGGATCTGCCCCTGTCAAGGGCAGTTCGAGAATAAGAAAGATTATGTCGAGAAACCTTTGCATGATGATTGTTTTAGTCTGAACCATGTTGAAAAATCAAACCTGAATGAACCTAATTTTGATGGTTCTGATGTGAAAAAAAATTATTGGGAATACTAATTCTATTGTTTGGTTAGATTTGAAATTGTAAGAACTAACGAGTATAAAGACCTATATGCTCCTACAAATTAATAAGAGTAAGGGAAAATGGTCTGATGGGTAAATAAGCATAAATGATTGGACCGTATTGCCGATCCGTCAAGAAATCACCCAATCGGTCTGTTATAGCCATCAACCCGACGGAAATAAATCACTTGTGATCAATCGTACTGCTCGTACCGATAGGCTTCGTGACAAAAGAAGATGCTCTCGAATCACCCTTGGAATCACCCGGACGGAAAGTCACCCGGCCGGTCAACCGTAGATTGACCGATCGGCCTACAATGTGTCGCAGCCTACAAAGCCGAAAAACATAACTTACATGACAAGTTATAGGGGCCAACTTGCACTTGCAGAACGACAATTGACAGCTTGCAGATAGGGCGGCTCTATCACCTCGGTCAGTCAACCTACGAGTAGCTCACTTAAAGAAAAATCACGAATCGCGATGGAAACTATTTCGTCGCAATATAGCGACCCTATCGACGAATTTTGCGACGGAATAGATTCCGTTGCAAATTAATGACGGAAATTAATTCCGTCGCGATTTTTGGCGCAAAGAGAAAATTAAACCTGCGAAATCTTGGCGGCAAAATATTCACGATGGAATTTGCGATGGATGTAAGTTATGTTGTCCCTTTAGCGACGGAAAATACGATGAAGTTAAATTCCATCGTGAAATGGTGATGAAGAATTTTTATCCATCGCGTAAGAAGGAATCTTTTTTTTAAAAAAATAAAATATTGCTACGGAATTGAGTCGCAATATTTTTTGTTTAACTTTATTCCCCTCCAACGTCTTTTTTTTTTTTTTTTTTTTTTTTTTTTTTTAATTTCCATCGCCCTAATTCACTTAAAAGAACTTATGGCACGTTTGATTCGCAGAATAAACCTGGAATGGAATAACATTACAAGTAATAGACCTATTCCTTTGTTTGGTAAAACCATCTATTGCCAGAAATATTATTTCCAAGAATGACCTATTCCCCTGACAAAGGGAATAGAAATTCCTGGTCACCCCCTGGTATTAACCTATTCCTGAGTTCTCATCCTACAATTCCAACTTCCTATTTTACCCCAATTCCCCTCGGTCGATGTGAATCGGTGATTGTCTCCACCAACAATGAAACTGGTGATTGTCTCCACGAACAATGAAATTAGTGGTTGCGATCGCGACTGGAGATGCTGTTTCTTCCCTCAAGGTGTCAGGTGATCTTGGACTTGGTGCCTTCAACTTTAACAAAGAAGCGTCTACTTTGCCACCGGAAATTACCGCGCCGGAGAAGCTCAAAAAATCGAAGACGCAGATCTGTCTTCATCAGAAATAAAGCAGATCGAATAAGCTCAGAAATAAAATAAATCAGCGTCGTCCTCTGTCGCTGCTACTGCCGGAAGTCCACTCTTCACTGAAGTCTTCGGACTTCATCTACGCTACTCTGACCATTGTCGGAGGTACGAAGATGGATGGAAGGAGGCAAAGCTGCGGAGGTCTTCACTCTTCAGACTGGCAAACTGCGATTGTGCAAAGCCGTGGAGGTCTTGCAATTTTCAATTTGCTATTTGCGATTTGCGAGATTGACGGAAGGAAGCGGAGGAGGGAGGTCTGGAGTCTGGACTCTTCAAATATTACGGAGTAGATGTAATTATTCTAGGGCTACTTTAACTTATTGATAAAGTAATATAAATTATAGGCAGAAGTGTCAAATAGACCCATCTACTATTACGAAGTGTTCAATTTCCCACATGATCTAAAATATAGTCTAATTAGGCACACTTATCTTATCAAATTGTTCAATTAAACATTTTTACAGGTTACCAATAGGTTGCCCAATTCACCTAGTTGACCTGGAAATGAATTTAATGACATGTCAGCGCCTTCATCCCAGTCAACCTCAGCTCCACCGCCACCTGCCTTCATCGTCCCAGTCAAGTCAAGCCATACCAAGCTGGTGCATTTAGCTAACTCCCTCGGAATTTTTCCGGTTAAGCTGTTATTTCCGAGCTGCAAAACCGACAACCTCGTTAGAGATCCAAACTACGGCGGACAGGGAAATCCATTCACAGACAATCCATTGATCCCAGAAATATTAAGCACAATTCACATATCCAGAGAACCAAAAGGGTAGAAAGAAACGTCGCCGATAAGCCCCGCCTGCGAAAGATCAACGGCGCTCACTCTCCCGAGATCGTTGTTCAGCTGCCAGCCGGAGAGGGCGCTGTTTGGGTCTCTCTGGATCATCTTTGGCGCCGGAGAGCTGCTAACCTGCGAAGTCTCACATCGCGATCCAAAATTCGTCTTTTGCGACTTCTCCGACGATCGGGCCCTTGCATGGACAATCGGACGGCATGAATGAGATCAGGGATGCGTCTACATGGACTTCGGCTGCTCAGAATGTAATTTGGCGATCTCCGGAATTTGGCTCGCTGGCGGCAAGTCTCCGGCGACCTGAAGATTCCATTGCAGTTAGTGGTGTTGGTCTCGGAGTGCTGGCGACTCCTATTTCCTCTGATTTGTTCGAGGCCCCAAACTGATGGTCTTGTTGTCTTCCAGTGCTCTGTTGAAGAAAAAACAATCAAATCACCAGCACACCCCTTAAAACAAGGTTTTCAGTGAAAAGATTTTAGCTTTCCGAGAAAATACAAACACAAAAAATGGGGAGAATACCTGAACTCAAAAATGGTAGGTGAATTCTTGGAACAGACCCAGATATGAAAGCAATGCGAGGGAGGGAGTAGAGCTGTAGAGTTGCAGAGACTGGTGGTCTCGCTTCGGAAGATGGTGGACGGATCTCGGTGGAGGGTGAACAACTTCTCTCTCTTTCTTATTTCGTGGCGGTGCTCATGGAAGACGGTGGTCCTCATCGACTAATGCAAATTGTTTTTTTTTTTTTGCCATGTAAACAATGCCACCTAAGCGTAACCTGGTGACGTCATCGCAAACAGGTAGATAACCTGCAAAAACAAACTAATTGAACAAATTTAGTTGGTAAACGTAGCTAATTACACTATATTTTAGTTTATGGTGGGAATTGAGCACTTCGTAATAGTAGATGGAGCTATTTGACACTTGTGCCTAAATTATATTATTACTTTCAAAAAAAATATTATTATTATTATTATTATAAATTATAAATATATTTTTATAAAGGTATTTATGTCTTTTAACACATATTTTATTTCTATTCCTTAAACCAACTAAAAACAGTAATATAATTTCTAAAGTCCATTTCTTCCACAAACCAAACAATAGCATATTCCTTGCCTATTCCATTCTTTATGGAATAACTATTATGATCATAGAAGGAAGCAGTAATGGCAGAGGGAAGAAGGAGAAAGAAGGTGAAGTCGAGCTGCTGAGAAACCCTTCGCTGGGATTAGATGAAGAAGGGGGAATGAAGACCCAAACGGCATCGTTCCATTAAATGACCGTTGTAGCCGTTGGGGACCGATGCCGAGACGACGTCGTTTCACTCGAACGTTGAAAGCAGTTGAATAACGGATCAGACGGTGTCGTTTCATCCAGTAGCCGTTGATATTTCCAGTGGCTTCGTTGGTTTTCCTCTCCGATAGATTAGGGAAATTAGTTACCCTTAGATCAGTTGTATTTAGCCAAGGAAAAGATTGAAGAGTTTTCTTATGCAATTTGAATACAGAATTTCCTTTCTCTCTCAATTTCTCCTCTCCTCCCCCTTTTCTGTGTCTGTCTGAGACCACTGCAATTGGTATCAGAGCCCATGGACGATCGCATCAAGCAACTGGAAGCTGCGTTCATTGAGCTCAACAGCAAGGTTGACTCACGAATCCAAGCTACGCAAGACAAACTCTCAGCTCAGTTCGGAGGCCTGAGAGAGGAACTGCTGAACCTGCTACGACTTAATCGACCGGCACCTCCGGTGATGGGATACTCGCCTGAGCAGTCCTCGGTGCAAGGGCAAGTACTTGTTGAGCCCAGGGCAGCCGCGGAAGGGAGACCAGACAAGTCTCCGATGGTGAATGTCGACGAAGAAGAACCTGATTTCAGGATAGAAACTCCTAGAGCCTTTGGACATGTAGAACGCAGGCCAGGTGTGTTAGGCCAGCATCAGGAGTTCCTGATGAGGTACAAAAACGAATTCCCTACGTTTAATTATGCTAATCCCAGGCAATGGATCATCAAGTGTGAAAAGTTCTTCCTGCTTTCTCACATTCCTAGGCATGAAATACTCAATTTGTTGTATGTGCACTTAACTGGGAGAGTGGGAACTTGGTTTGATAGCTATGTTCACAACCTTAGAGATGGGTTTGAATGGGTGGATTTTGCTAGGGCTGTGAGTAGGAGGTTTGGAGATAATAGGGCCTTTCTAATGGAGGATTTTGCTACCCTAAAACAATGGGGTGGAGTGGATGAGTTCACTGACCAATTTGAGGAGTTTAGAAGCCTGCTACTGCAAGTTCATCCTTACATAACTGAAGGCTACTTCATGGACAACTATATTGCTAGGCTTAAACAACAATTGAGATGTTTGGTAAGAACTGCTAAGCCAGAGGGATTGGATGATACTATCTAGCTAGCTAGGCAATATGAAAAGGGGTTTAAAACTCAAGAGGGGCAAAGAAACACTTCCTGAAATTCCAGATCAGTGCAACCAACTAGGAACCACAACCCTAACCCCCACCAACCTACATTACCACCTTCAACCCTTAGCAGCTCTCACTCAAATAATTCCACTGCAAACAACCCTCCTAGACCCACATACTCTACTCAAACCACTGCATCCAAGGCTCCTGACATTGCCCAATTTAAAACCCAATTAAGGGAGCAAAGAAGGTGTTTTAAGTGTTTTGACCCTTGGCAACCAGGGCACAAGTGCAAGGGCCCCACTTTCAACATCATTGAAGGACAAGAACAATCTGAAACCCCACCATTGAGCCTAGAAGATGGAGAAGAACAGGTCACTGAGGAGGCTGAAGTGACATTGTGTGCTGTTGTAGGAGGGGAGGGTTTGAATACAATTAAGCTCCTGGGAAGTGTGCAGAAACAACCAATAGTCATCCTTGTTGACAATAGGAGCACCCACAGTTTTGTGGACCCTAAACTACTTTGCCAACTAAGAAAAAGAACCTGTGAAAGCTACTACATTAATGGTAACTGTTGCTAATGGAGAAAAGATTCTGAGTGATTCAGTGTGCAAGGATCTATGTTGGTAAATTCAGCAGGAGCAGTTTGTGAGGGATTTTAGACTCTTAAGGTTAGGAGGTTGTGACATGGCGTTAGGAATGGATTGGGTAGACCAATTTTCTCCCAATCCAACTTCATACAAGGCCTCCTGGTATCTCCTTCCATAAAGAGGGAAGGAAAATATTGTTGAAAGGACTGACTAGAAATGTCCTGCTGAAGGGAGTAGGGAACAAGAAAGTGAAAAGATGGAATAAGGGAGGGGTTCAAGGCTTCCTAATCTAATGCAGTGGATTATCACCATCACCAACTACTGAGTTTCCCACCTACTTTCAAACAGACATACAACCAACCTTCCCTGAGCTTTCTGAATTATTGCAAGAATTTTAGGAGCTTTTCCAAGAACCTTCTTCCCTACCACCACCAAGAACCCTAGATCACAACATTCCCCTCATTCCAGGAGCCAAACTTGTCAACATAGGACCCTATAGATACTCCTACACCCAGAAAAATACCATTGAGAAAATGAAAGATGAAATGCTTACAGTCGGAATTATCACCTCAAGCACCTCATGTTTTGCTTCCCCAGTGCTGTTGGTCCCTAAGAAGGACAATACCTGGAGGTTTTGCATAGATTACAGAGCCCTAAATGAAATTACCATCAAAAACAAATTCCCAATACCCATAGTAGAAGACCTCTTCTCAGAACTGGCTGGTGCTGCTTATTTCTCTAAATTGGACCTGAGATATGGATATCATTAGGTAAGAATGAAGGAGGGTGAAGAGTATAAGACAGCTTTTAGAACTCACCAAGGCTTGTATGAGTTCAGGGTGATGCCATTTGGGCTCACCAATGCCCCAGCCACTTTTCAAGCTTTGATGAATTCAGTATTTAAACCCCTGCTAAGGAAGACAATGCTAGTATTTTTTGATGATATCCTTGTGTATAGTAGAAGGTTGGAGGATCATTGGCAGCATCTGAGAGAAGTTTTACTGATCATGAGACAGCACCAACTCTATGCCAAACTGAGTAAATGTTTCTTTGGCAAGACACATGTGGAATATCTTGGACATTTAATCTCTCAGAACGGGTTACAAACTAACCCAGCCAAGCTTGATGCAGTGGCAGCCTGGCCTAAACCCTTGACTGTGAAATCACTAAGGGGGTTCCTGGGCATAGTTGGCTACTATAGGAGGTTCATAAAGGGTTTTGGAGTCATCAACAAACCTCTATCTGACATGCTAAAGAAAGATGGTTTCTGTTGGTCTGAGGCAGCAGATGGGGCTTTTGAGAAATTGAAACATGCTCTCTGCAACTCTCCTATCTTAGCCCTACCAAACTTTTAGAAGGAGTTTGTCATTGAAGCAGATGCAAGCCACAAGGGGATGGGGGCTGTCTTAATGCAAGAAGGCAGGCCTGTGGCATTTTTCAGTAAAGCTTTTGGGCAAAAACACTTGGGACTTTCTATCTATGAGAAGGAGTACCTCTCCATCATCAATGTTGTTGATAAATGGAGACCTTATCTCCTGGGAAGGCATTTTACCATCAAGACTTATCACCATAGCCTACAATTCCTCCTTGGGCAGAAGATCACCACTGCCTTACAACAGAAGGGTCTATCTAAATTATTGGGGTTGGATTATACTATTCAATATAAAAAAAGGGGGGTGGATAACAAGGCTGTTGATGCCTTGTCAAGAAGGGAAATTGTAGAAGAGGGGACTAGCCTTGCTATTTCAGTAGCTCAACCACAGTGGATGGAGGATGTCTCTAAGTGTTACCAATCTGTCTATCTGACAGCTAGGCTACTGATACTCTGACCACTGCATCAATCCAGCCTGATTCACTACCTAATGTAACTATTGTGGGAGGCCTAATTAGGTATAAAAATAGGCTCTATGTTGGGAATACTGGGGACCTCAGGAAGGCCTTGATCCTACAGTTTCATGAGTCTGCAATTGGAGGACATGCTGGACAAAATGGCACCTACCAAAGGCTAAAAACATTGTTCTATTGGAAGGGTATGAAGAATGAAGTGAAGGAGCTGGTAAGACAGTGTGATGTTTTCTAGAGATGCAAAAGTAAAAATGTGGCTAGTCCTGGCCTGTTAGAACCTCTTCAAATCCTTGAGGGGGTCTGGCAGAGTGTGTCAATGGACTTCATAGAAGGGCTTCCAAAGTCTGAAGGCAAGGATGTGATCATGGTGGTAGTTTATTGGCTGACTAAGTAAGGCCACTTCATCAGCCTCAGTCACCCCTACACTGCTGCGAAAATAGCAGACTTTTTATGGAAAATATCTATAAATTACATGCCCTACCTAGGAGCATCATTTTTGACAGGGATAAGGTGTTCACAAGCAGATTTTGGCAATCGTCTTTATATAAGAGTATGCAAGTAAAATTGAATCTCTCTACTTGTGACACCCCTAAATTTAAAATATTTAAAGCTTATAAAATAAAGAAGAATCTAATATTAAATCCCAAATAGAGCGTAAACGAAACATGATAGTCGGGGTGCTATGCCACATCTAGGTTTAAGAACCTAGATGCACATGCTAAACTACCCAAACATGGCATGAACTATAACTAATATCCATAATACAATTCAAGGCTCACAGGTCATCCGACTAATACTAAGCTAAATCCACGAGTCCATCTAACGCGCTCATTAGCTACTGATCTGAACTTGGAAAAACATACGGTGTAACAACCATCAGCGAATAATGCTGGTAACCCACTCAAACATGTTAAGTACAATATAGGTAGATATAAGAAAATCATTTTGAAACTGGAATACATATATACTTACGAGACTCTAATTTAAATCCAATATCAAGACCCAAGGCACATTAACAGACTCAACAGTATAGAGTAATCATAAAGACTAACATGCGTCCTAAGAACACGTATAACGGACAGATAGGCATATAAATGACAAATAAAGACAACAAATGCATTCAAGACAATCAGTTAGCAAGTAATCACCAAAGCACACAATCCATCTTACAACCTTATACCAAGTTCCAACCTTGTAGCTCCCCTCCGTCCTTATATCAGTTCCAACCTATACCTCCAAGCTACCCTTATATCGTCTCCCCTTATTCCTCCGGGCAACTACATGCCCCCACCGAAAATCCACCTATCAACCACCAACATATCAAGATGGTGTCGCAGTTCCATTCACATGATCCACACCTCTAGTTCCAATATCAAGGGGTCAGCGCATATAGCCCTGGCATGACACCGCAACACTAATAACCTGACCCATGTTCAACGGCAAGCAGGTCTAAGGTGGGTTTGTTCCTTTAGCACAGTAACCGCTAGTCCTGTACCTTTAATACAGACTAGTTACGAAGGGGTATTCACAAGAAGAAGGCATAGATTTTGATGAGACATTCGCCCCAGTCGCACGACTCGAAGCAATTCGAATATTCCTAGCATATGCAGCCTACAAGAACTTCACAGTATATCAAATGGACGTAAAGAGCGCATTTCTTAATGGCTTACTTGAAGAAGAAGTTTACGTCGAACAACCACCCGTTTCTGAGGGAAAAGACGTTGGTGATCAAGTCTACAAATTA